AAAACTGGAGCTCATGCTGGTGAATATTCTCAGTCTTCCAGGTCATAGTCATTCCAAAACACTTAAAAAACAATCCACTGGACTTTGTTTTTCCAAGTTTGAAGACGTTTCGCTTCCTAACCAAGAAGCTTTTTCAATTCAAAATGTCAGGAATAGCGTTGAGTTCCAGGCTATATACAGTAGCCCAACAAGCCTTTATTTTTGTTTAGGAAACATGCAAATTGAAACGGACGAACGAGTCCACTCCTTTGGAATGGGGGTCGTTTGGCTTCCAAGGAGTGGATCCATCCGTCCGTTTCAATTTGCATGTTTTCTAAACAAAAACAAAGGCTTGTTGGGCTACTGTATAAAGCCTGGAACTCAACACTATTCCCGACATTTTGAATTAAAAAAGCTTCCTGGATGGAAAGCGAAACGTCTTCAAACTTGGAAAAACAAAGTCCAGTGGATTGTTTTTTAAGTGTTTTGGAATGACTATGACCTGTAAGACTGAGAATATTCACCAGCATGAGCTCCAGTTTTATAAATACAGGTTAATAATATGATTTTATTTGGTATTTATTTTTGATTCCTTACCAACTTCCAGGCAACATATTTATGTGTTTTTTTATAGATGGAAAGCATAAAATGTCTAGTAATTAAGTGCTCAAATTAAAAGCTTAATTAATATTTTATATTTTATAATTAGTTATAGTACATTCCACTTTTGGACAATCAATACTTTTGACTGAGAGGGGGACTCATGGGAAGACAAAATGCCCAAATGGGTACACAAGTCAAAAAATGTAGGCAAACGCTGCTCTAAGGGGAGCTTTATTGCTTATGTAAATATAAATACATATTTGAATCTTTATTATAAATGTATTTGGGATTCTCCTTGAAGAATCTCAATATATTATTTCCAATGTGCAGCGAGCCTTTGTCATTTGCTCCATGCTTTTCTGCAGGTGAAGTGGAGGCAGTGAACATGACCATCCCTAACACTCTGATCAGAGGAGCGCTTGGAGGGGAGGCCCTTCTGTCAGTTCGCTACAGCAGCTCCAGCCTCGACCCCCCGGTTATAAAGTGGCAACTTCAAAGGGAAAAGGCAGTCACCGTGGTTCAGTCTGTTGGAACAGACATCGTTGGGACATTGAGGCCTGAGTATCAAGACCGCATCCTTGTGTTTGACAACGGGACTCTGCTGCTCCACAACCTCAGACTCTCTGATGATGGGACCTATGAGGTGGAGATCTCCATCACAGATGATATTTTCCCCGGAGAGGGAGACATCACACTCACGGTGGATGGTAGGTTCATAAACCTTTTATTTGTATCGTTACAAAGGAACAGTGAATAAAAAGAGAAAACATTACATCCAAATGTTGCTAACCAAACCCATCGGTTTTAAATTGACCTTGAATAAACCACAACACTTTGGGAACAATGTCTATTGGACATATGAGACCAAAGTAGAGCTTTTTAGATGTTTAAATTCAGCTAATTTTTTTTTTTTTTAAATCATCTGATTTTTTTCAATTCAGTTTATTTCTATAGCACCAATTTACAACACACGTCATTTGAAAGCACTTTACAGTTCACCAGATCATCCAATCAGATTGATTCAAAGTTTTCTAAGGAAAACCAGCTGATTGCATCGACTCATTGACTCTTCAGCAATCCCTCACACTAAGCATGCTTGTAGCGACA